TATATAAATAAACTGAATTGAATTGAATCTCCATTGGCTTCAAGAGTTATACTTTTTATTTATGCATTTCAAGTAGGGATGTAACGGTTTATGAAAACCGTCCGAACCGTTCGGTTCGACCGTCTCGGTTCAGTTTGCGTGTGTTTCGTTCGGTTCATGCGCTGCTCCTTTTTCTCATAGGCGAAGCGTTTACACTCCAGAGCAGAAGGTGGCGGTACTGCGACCAAAGCCAACCACCAGTAGTAAACAAGAAGAAGAAGAAGCGAAGCAGTGTAGCCGGGTGTAGCAGAAAAACATCAGTTGTTGTGGAGAATTGTGTGGGTATGGCGAGTGGGAAAGAACAGGAGTTGGAAGACGCGCCAGCAGCACTTTATAGGTCTGCTGTATGGGACCACTTTGCATTTAGAGTGACCTACGATGACGGCGGGAAGAAAGCTGTGGATAAAAGTGCAACAGTGTGCAAGCATTGTGCAACACGTTTTGTTTATGCTAACAGCAACATGACCAACATGTCAGGCTAACCCCGAAATCCCTCATACTCCGTCAGCGCTCCGCCCCGCTGCGCTCCAGACCGCCGGCGCAAAGCAACGCCTACAGCCTCCACTGTGGCTCCCGTCCGCTCCGCTCTGAGTTCCTTGGAGATGGTAGAGGGCATGCGCCAGATGATTAAATTCAAAGCAGCAAAACATGCAGAAATAATCCAGGGTTTCCGCGGATCATTAAAAATAATTACAATTCATTAATTTTTGGGGGATTTTTAATTAATTTAATAATTTTTTATGGGATTTCGGTGTAACAATCAACATATAGCGAACCAAACCGAAAACCGTGACCACGAAACCGTGAACCGAACCCAACCGTGGATTTTGTGAACCGTTCCACCCCTAATTTCAAGTCTCTTAATAGTTTTGAAATAATATTTATGTGTAAATATTGGCCATTTTGCTCAATAGTTTCCAGGTTTTGTGGTGGATTAACACAACATCTATAATAGATCACAGTAGTGCTCTGGTTTCATGAGAAACACTTTTTAGTTTTGCATATGAAGTCTCTAAATATTTCTAATTTTTTGTAAATAGGACAAATACCAATGAAAAGATCTAGGCCTACACTTTTATTTTGAAAACCGGAAGTCGAACCTGATGTAGCCCATTTATCACGCCGTGTCTTTACTGTAAAATCTATAATAGGGGTGCACTTTAAATGTGGATCGGCTTCCTCTGATTGCAGTGCACCAGGAGTGAACCAAAGGTTTAACCGGAGCAAATGTCTGCTGAATATCCATCTTCAACGCGTTTTTTTTAATCAAAACAATGTGTCTCACTCTCAGCCGGAAGTTAGCTTTAGCTTAGCATCTTGATCTCCTCTAATCAGTTTTCCAATCAGATGAGGCTAAAATCCAGTGTGCATCATCAGGGAATCGTTTCTACCAGGTGTTTCCTACCTATCCGGTGTAAGATGATCTGGGGGATCCTGGTGAAATCCAGCAGTAGATGTTGATCCTCCATCTTCTCTTCTTTGAACTTTTTCTCTCTTCCTTTAAACTCCGTGAATGTTTCTTCAGCAGGAGTTAACTGCTCGCTGATAAACTCTCCTTGAAGCTGGACTGAAGACGTTCTCACTGCAAACCCTCCCAGATTATCAGCCTCTCTACAACGGACGCAACCTAGGACGCATCCTTAGAAGACCGGATTCGAAGGCCGATTACGTCATAGCGCGGCGCCGAGGTCTGGTCGGATTCCAAGAGTCCTCGTTATGCGGCCTTAAAATGCGTCTTTCTTTTTGCCCGATTTGAAGGATGGGTCTGATGTATCCTGGTATTCTTGGATATCCCAGGATTCATTGCGAGACCAAGCAAGCTGTGATCAGAGGAAAGGTTACTTGGCGCCGAACAGTGGTGAAAATTGGAAGTTCAGTTTAATATAATACAAGTCATTTAATAGTTCCGTCTGAAATGAATGAAAATAGTTGTTTTAATGGTTATTGAGTCAGATATGTGGCGGTAAAGTTTGATTTATCTAAAGGTTTTTATCTGTTACTGTGTAAATGGGTTTGGCTGGAATTTAAGGACAGATTCTAATAGATCTGCAGTGTGGGAACTATAAATCTGATAGGAGTTTTATCTTTTTATTGCTGTTTTGCACAATATGCTTAACTACGTATTTTTTGTTGTTGAATATTAGAGATTTTGCAGATATATTTTTTATAAATACATTGTTTAGATTTACTTATATCTTTCTAGCCCTTTTATAGAATAGAATAGAAAATCCCTTTATTGTCCCACAATGAGCAAATTTACAGCAGCAGAAAGATTATTGAAAATGGTCACACAAATGTGGACCTTAGAAAAATGTATAAGAATAACATGATAGGGAAGAGTTAAAATATAAACAATAAAATACTGTAAAGTGTTTTAACAATATAAAACTGGGGAATAAATAACCAATATGCAGCTATGGACATTTTTACAGTAATTTGAAAATAGCAGCAACATCAGAGATGTGCAGAATGACAGCAGCAGGTTATTTAACTGACTAAGGTTTCTATCATTACATGTGATTTGATTTGTTCCAAATAAATGGTTGAAACCTTTATTCCACTCTGGATTCTTGTGAGTGTGGTCTTTGTTCACTTCACAATAAAAAAGAAATAAATAAACAGTTTTGAAAACTTCTGTATTCATTCTTTTCCTGCTTTGTGTGTCACGTTTATGGTTGCTAAGCAACAGAGCATACGGCGGTAAAACCCGCCGAAGGGTGGACCTGGTCGAATTTATAGCCTAAACTCTTCCGGTCTCCCTATTTTCAAGGACTTCGAAGGATCCAGTCTAGGTAGACTGCGTCCTTGGAGGACACGTCCTAGGTTTTCGAACAGAGCCAGACTCCACACAGAAGATAAGCTAATGCTGCTAGCTGCTAGTGACGTCACTTCCTCTTCTTCTTCTTTCTGGTTTTTACTGGCGGGTGACATCTGACGTTAAGATGTATTATCGCCATCTACTGTGCTGGAGTGTAGACCAGAGTAGCTCCCTTTAATCTAAATTCTTAGAAATAATCCTGTTTCCTTCAAAATGCTTTATTTATTTTATGAATAACTAATATTTTATTAAGTTTTAATGTGTCTATATCATATTTCCTAATTTCTTGTTTTAGCTTCTCTCTACTTACTGTATACTTTCCACAATGAATTCTTCCATGTTCTACTGTTTCCATATCCCTACCACACTCACAACCAGCGGCTGGATGTTTACCTATCAAGTGTCATTTGATTTAATCCACTATGATCAAGCTGCAATCCTGTCATTACTACTTGTTCTTTCTCATTTTTTCTTATTGTTTCCATATTCCCTACTTTATTTTGTATATGAAATAAATGACGAGCTTTAGTTCCTTCTTCCAACAATTGTTGCCATTCAGAATTAATTTAGCTCTTAATGATTGATTTTATTTCAGATTTACAATATGCTATTTCCATAATTCTACTTAGTTTTAAAGACATCTTAGCTAAATGATGTGCCATATCATTCCCTTCTATATCTTTATGAGCAGGTATCCACATAAACCTAATCTCTATTTAATTTGGGTCATTCTAAATAGAACTTGATAAATTTCATATACTAACTCCATACGGCTTTCAGATGAAACATCTAAAATAGACATTAATGATGATAATGAATCTGAACATATCAGAACTGTTTCAATGTTATTTTGCTCTACCTACTGTAAGGCCAGAAGTATGGCTAACATTTCCACTGTATCCACAGCTAAATCATCAGATGTTATTTGTTTTCTAAATACACCAAGTTCAGGAATAACAGAAGCAAATCCTCTTTTATTTGAAACTCAATCTTTTGAACCATCTGTATCATTAATTGTGAAGGATTTATAGCTACTCTTAATCCTGTCATTTCCTAAATCTACCCAGTTATTATCTTTATTAATCTGCATTTCTTTATAAACCTCTAGATCTACATTTGCATGTGGAAACAACCAAAATGGTGTAATTGGATAAGACACTGCAGCACAGTATCTCTTTCCCTGTCTGCCTATTTCCCTGATGAATTTGTCTGCTGCAGGCAAAACAGTCTATTTTAGCTTTTCCACTCTCCCAGCAAGGTTTTAGGATTCTTACTGCTGGATTATTCTCCTCCTTATGTCCCTGCAAACATAGGCGGATCTACTGGGGTGGCATAGGGTGGCAAATGCCACCCTAAATGACAGCCTTGCCTCCCCTGCTGCCACCCCAGTTGGCGGTAGGGGTGGCGAGGCTTATAAATTATGGATCATTTGAGAATTACGACCGCTAATTTCCAATGTTGGACTGCAGTGAATGCAGCACGTGATGACCCAAAAGTGACTGAGACTGATTAGTTTTGAAAACCGAATGGGGCAAAGCGAGGGAGCCAGGGGTCATGGGGAGAGGAGACACAGGAAGAAACAGGTAAACACTGATTAACTATCTATAGAGAAATTAAATCATAATGAAAGTACAATGTTGCTAGCATAGCTGCAATGCTGATTTACAGATGATAAAAATCAGGTTGAAGAGCATTATTTCTCTATCTATGATGTTAGTTAGGCCTGACGTCTCAGCCTCATAAAGAAATATTAACGGTTAACTATAACAGAAAAGAGACTATCAGGTTTGGTTGAACTCAAATCAAAACGCACAAAGGCATTGGATCTCAAGTTTGGTTGTACTCAAATCATGTGTGATACTGGTGTAAATCCCCTTTAATGTGAAGCAGTGTTGTTTCTTTTTTTGTATACATAGTATGAAACTCTCCAGAAATGACCCGTATGAACCTACTCACTAAATGTTTTCTACTTTTTCAGACTGGAAGCTAAATGTATTTTTATGTTGCTTCTTTTCAGATTGGTGGAGATTTTAATGTAACATACAGGGTGCGTCTCAATTCACAGGCTGCATACTTGGTAGTACGCATTTTGAGGCCGGTGACGCCTCAAAAGAAGAAGAAGAAAGTCGGATTTTCTTCAAATTACGGACAACCGAAAGCAGCAGCAGCGCCGACAGTAGTGCGGAGAACACCTTTAAATGTAAGTAGTTTTTTTAAAAAATTTTTTTAATGAACATCTATTAAAATACATGACGGTAACGGAGCCACCGGAATGTGTAGGAGCAGCTAAAGCTAAAACTAAGAGCTAACCTGTTGATACGTGATGCTCATCAACAATTAAAAGCCTTCATACAAATGTCACTATTTTTTATTTTAACCTACATCTTACTGTACTGATAGCCGTGTCCCTCTCTAATCAGATCTATTTATTCTCAAACAGATTATTACAAAGTATTAGAGCTGTTAAAGCTTAATGCAGCTGAAGAAATAACATTAGTCCAGCTGTACTGGGCTGTTAATGCTGCAAACGTTTTGTTTTCATACTCAATAACGTATAGTTTATTTACAGTACAGTATAATAAGGTTTAAAGTATAATTCACTTGAAGAACAATACCTGCGTAATTATACAGAACAGTCATTTTGCCTGTTGACTTAACAGAAATATGCGTTACATGTCATTTTGTTCCAGGGAGCAGACAGAGGAGTGGATAAAATGACCACCTCATCATCGGGGCCAAAGATACTGCTGCAGGCGGATGGAGGGAAGAGTTGAGGCAGAATTCCATCTACATGTTGCATTTCTATGTAAAAGTCACGCAAGTTAAAATAAGTCCTGTTCAAACACCAACGTACAAATATAATCTTTTGATCACATCAAATGATGCCCAGATGCCACTTTTTGTAAATCTCATATTTGTGATAGAAGTGATCCTTGTGTGGGACAACTTAAAAAAAAAAATACAAAGTATGTTCAGGTTTGGATAATGTAATGAAACACACACACACCTATATATATATATATATATATATACATATATATGTGTGTGTGTGTGTATATATATATATATATAATGTATGTGTGTGTGTAGGGAAATTACATCTTTCATTTATTATATTCATGTTAATTTCCCCTTTAAGTAATCTCCAGGTTACCATTCCAAAGTCTTTTTCTGTAGAATTTCATCAATCCATCCAAATCATGAAACCTTCCTTTTTTCTAGCTTTAAAGAAACACTACAGAAAATAGCATCTGTTGATACAAATAGTTTTCCTCTACTTTAGGAATGCAAAGATCCTTGGACAGGGCAGCGGGTCAGTGGGAATCCTACTGCTGCCACCTGGCCCTGGTTTGTCCTCATGGATGAGGTATTAGGACGGAGGCTCTCTATTACCCCACCTGTCCTAATTGCCTCCATCCCTGAGGACACACCAGGGCCAGGTGCTGCAGAGGCTGGGCAGCATCGGGGTGAAGATGAGGAAGAGAATGAGGATGAGAGAGGAGGGAAAGGAGGAAGAGAAGAAGGAGTGACGAGTTGGTGGATTTAATCAGGGAGGAGATCAGATGGCAGAGGGAGGCGGGAAAGGATGGACGGATTATTTCATTTATTGGAGAGGATGGTGGACAGATGTTATTATTTTTTTGGTGTTTTTTTTAACAAGTTGAAGTTCTGTGTTGCTGTTATGGTTAAATTAAATTATTAAATTGTTTATAAAAGTTATTGTTGTCGGTGTGTTCTTAAAGTCTTTTAACCTTTTTACATGATCTGTTTCATCACTTCTTTATAATTTAAGTAAACTTAGAACAACTTCTCAGTGACATCAGTTTATTTTTAGAGAAGCAAGTATTTACAATAAACTATTAAACATTTTTAACTATTGACATTAGATTTTAAAATTAACTACTACAACTATTTACAAAAGATATACAGTAAATATTACTAGATAACATATATATATATATATAATTGTGACTGAGCAGGAGTCCCTGGTGATGCTGCTGGACTGGATGGGATGCCACACAGATGAGCTTGGAGTCTTCTGACTGCGAGTGGGACATCATCTGGAGGGTGGGGGTTGCCTCTCTCCACAGCTGATCCAATCGATGGCTGCCATGTTACTAAAAATGTTCAAGAAGACGCAGAAAATAATGACTTTACTAAAACTGTTTTTATAACCCTTAAATAAGAACAGCTAAAATGTGATTCTACTTGCCATCTAAATGTAACGGTGGTCGGGTAGACCCTCCTCCAGGGTAGACCCTCCTCCAGGTCAGACACCTCGGCAGACAGCTGGTCCCTCCAGTGAGCACCACTGACTGCCTCCTACACCTTCTCCCTTCCTCATCCTCTGGCATGTCGTCCTGCTCTTCATCCTCTGGGGCTGTTATGACCTGTAGAAAAAAAAAAGACAAAAATATTTATTTTTATTCAGTGATCTATCTTTTTTTCCTTATCTTTATTACATGATTTATTAGACAAAAATGATTTATTTCTCAACAGTCTGGCTTCTCAACACAACATTAGTAATAGTGAAAGTAGTGATTTAAGTCAGTTATTTACAGGGTTTGTACACATTTAACTATTCAATTCAAATTACTAAAGTTACAAACAAATAAATCACAAACTTACAAATAAATATAAAACTTGATATTTAAACATATTCATCAATCTGCTGACAAGCGTTGATTTAATAGCTGGTATATTCTGATCATTAGCAGGGCCCTGTGGGTTAGAATAATAGCAGGTAGATCTTACCTCTCCACTGCGCTCTGCCAGCCTGAGAAAAATCCGTCGCAGGTTTTGCTGCCGCCGAAGCCGTCAAAGCCGACTCTCCTCCTCCAATAACAAGTAAATAAAAAAAAATAAAAATGTCCATATCTATTTTTTTGTTGGTTCTTTACGTATTTCTCGAGCTGTCGGATTTTGTTTCGCGCTGTGTTTGGGGTAAACGTGATGACGTCGTGTCGCAACCAGGAAGTGCTCCAAAGGCTAGACCGTCCCATTTACCAACGGCTGAGGATCCTCCGGAGCAGCCTACCGAGTCTGGGTCCTCCGGAGGCTAGGTAGGCTGCGTCCTCGGAAGTACGCAGCCTGCGAATTGAGACGCAGCCACAGTACCTGCCTTTTTGTTGATTTGTTGATACAGCAGCTCTATCTACAGCAGATCTACATGCATGAAATGTCCCTTTCATGTAGCCTTAACTGCTGTATGTAAAGTTACTGAGGAAAAAAATGGGATAAATGTGTGTTCAGAGCAAACAATACATAGATGTCCGGTACCTTGTTCGGGTGCCTTGACCCATTTATTTCTACTGTGTAGTTCTGCTCACTTTAGTCCAGCTCAGTCCATAGATCTCTGATGGGGAACTTTTTCTTTCTATAGTTTCTTCTTGTGCAAATGCTGCAAAGCTGCCTCTCTGACAGTCAATCTCACACATCTGCCACTCAGCACCTGTGTCTCACCTTAATACCTTTCCTGTCATAATGCCCCTCTAGAAGTAGTGTTATTATTCTTCTATCTCCTATTAGGTGAGATCACATTGTATGATGTATTTCTAATATGAACTGTTTCACATGAAACACATACATGTACAAACTATTTTCACCAAACTGTGATAACTGTGATTAAGTTCAGTGTAAACAAATGCCATATGTTGCCACCCCTCAAAAATTCCTGCCCCCCTCTTGCCACCCCATAAATATTTTTCTAGATCCGCCCCTGCCTGCAAACTCACCCAATAATTCAACATTAGTTGCTTTTGTCTTAAACATAAAGGAATCTCCCCCATTTCCAGCTGCACTGCCAAAGATGGAGATGTCTTCATGGCTCCACAACATAATCTCAAAGCTTGATTCTGAATTATCTCTAATTTACTAATCACTGTTTTCACAGCCTGCCTATAAACTACACATCCGTAATCCAACACTGATCTAATCAAGGCAACATCAATCTTTTTTAAATTTATTTTATTTGGGCCCCAATCTAATTCTGATAAACACTTCATTATATTTATAACTTTTTAAAATTTCCCTTCAATATATTTAACCTGATCCCCCATAAGGGCTTGGAGTAGAACATGATTCCTGAAAAACGAAATTTACTCACTGTTTTTATTTCTTTCTCCATACATTTTTAAATCAATTTCCTCAATTTTCTTCCTACAGAATACAACAGTCTTTGTTTTAGCTGAGAATTTAAGCCCAATTCTCAACAGCATTAATAGCATTTTGTATTTTCTTAAACACTAATCTTACATTTTTCCCTTTTTTAGACAAAGGCTCCATAATCAGCAAATAAAGACTGCATAACATCCTGATCTACTTCTGTAAAAACATCATTAATCATGACTGAGAATAATAAAGGACTGATAATACTTCCCACAGAATGGGGAATCATACTCCCTACATTCTTATCTCCATGTATAGAGTTGCTTCCTGCCTTTCTGATTCTACATTGTTAATCAGCTTTTTATGCCTGTGTGTGGGAGCAAGGTCATTCTCAGCCTGCCCATCTGCAGATTTCATCCTGCATTCGAGTGGTGGTAGTGAGGTTCTGCAGTGTCCTCCTCCACGGGGGACAGCGTCCACGTCCTGCTGTTGTGTTGGAGCCTCCTGATGGCAACAAACCCTTCATCAGAACCTCATGCTGTGAAGGAACGTCAAACCGGATGTTTGCAGGCACCTGGACACTTAAGCCCTAAATAATTCATACAGCTGGTAGATTTAGATTGGATTTCACTCAGGTCTATGCAGGAAAACGTCTAAAATAAGAACTGTGGTCCTTGAGGACCTGGTTGGTGTATAAGAGATTACTGAGAGGATCACAAAGAATTTATTATTCAGTTTGATCATTTAATAAATAAAATGAAGATCAACATTTAGATTTTAGATAAAGACAAAATCAGTTTCTTGGTTCCCATTTCATAATAAAAGCACTTCCCATAAATTAATACTGATTGGAATATATTTCACTATTAATGTTCTCATTTAATATACTAATTGTCTAAACGTTTTTGAAAAAAAAGTTTACATTTTTAAAAACAAATTTACATTTTAGGAAACAAATTCACATTTAAAATAGGTTAGATTTTAGGTGAGAGAAAGTTTCATTTTAGAGAAAAAAAAATACATTATAGGGAAACAAATTTACATCTAAAAAAAATGTGACCGTTCCGAAACACTTGTACAAGTGCAAAGACAAAACTGCAAGCAGCAAAACACAGTTACATAGCCAAAAACAAATTAACAAAACACGGCTACACGGAAAGGGAATGTCCCAGTGGCCGGATGTGACGTCACGATCACCCTGACTTGTAGTACAAACAGCTCAATCTGTAGTCCTCCTGCTTCACGTGAAAAGTCAGCTGCGATTTTAGATGGAAAGAATTGCACTGAAGCTGTTTTTCTTACGTGTACGCTAACCGAGCAATGTTTTGCCCTAACCTCTTGCTCACACTGGATCCGGTGCGGTTACCGAGCCGACGGAGACCGCAACTCCCGCACACCCCCTCTCACACTGCCCTTTTGACTATGGTGCGGTGCGGCTCTGCGGCTCCAGCAACAGGTCCGGAGATTTAACTTCACGCGTGAAGTTACGTGAAGTTATCGCGATAACACGGCCCAAATAAGGATATTTGCGAGAGCTTGTTGCGGAGGGCTACGGCAGTATTTGCAACGAATGCTTACGTATTGATGAACTGTAAAATATCTGAACCTGAAAGGGAGAAATTGAGAAGAGTAGTTGAAAGGACAGGCCAAGAATGGAGTCTTAAAGGATTAATGGGAAATAAAGGAAATATAAAGGATATTTATAGAGTAAGGAAAGCATTATTTAGTTATCTTCAGAATACAAAATTAAAAAATAGAATTTAATACATGTAAAACAATGTTGCTACACACTCATGAACAGTAAGTGGCGGTATACACCTTAAAGATCTGCCATGATAGAAAGAAGATGAAGAAGAAGAAGGAACGAATGCTTTCATTGGATGAAAAGAAGCTGAGCGTGATTGGCTGATGGTATGGGTCATTTACATACATTGATGAAGTTGCGAGCGCAGAAACAGCCCGAGCGCACAGCTGGTATTGAGCGCGTTTTTCAGAGTTGAGCGTGCGCCAGACCGGTCATTGCGCGCTCGGATTGGTTCCTGCATGCTCAAACCGATGGCACAAATATCCCTCCATAGCCTTAGCCCTCAACGTGGCTGAAGCAGGTTTGACTCCGACCTGTCGTGTCACTAGTGCTGTAAAAACCTAAAGAAAATTTCAATATAATATGAAATGTTACAGAATAGCCTAAAAGGTATCTTTCACATCTACTTTTTTAATGAAAGTTTTTGTATTTTGCTGTACTCCTTTAGAGGAATATGACTGCAGGTTTTGAAGGAGGTTTAAACCTCATGACAGGTTTCCTGTAAAATAATATTTTTTTGTATGTTTGGGTTTTCAGGTTGCTGCACCTGCAACAAATATGACTTGGCAGTGTAAGTTGTGTTCAGCTTCTTTTACCACTCGGACATATTTATTAAAACACTGCAGACTGCAGCACAGCCACTTTTCAAAAATTAGCCCACTCCCATGTCTCCATGATGATTGCATGTGCACATTTCAGACACTTAGTGCACTGAGTACTCATCTGTCAAGATATCATACGCAAGAACGTAAGAGCAGTGCAAAGGAGATTCAGGAACTTGTCACCTTCAAGTGTCCTTTATGCACATTTCAGCAACCTTTTTCTGAGTCTGTGCTCCTTAGTCACATAAGAACACACTTAAAAAAGCATGAGACAGTGGTATGTCCATACAAAGACTGTAATTATAGCACAAACGTATACTCCTCATTTAATTGCCACAAAAGTAGATTCCATCAAGGGAATATTGTATCAGACTTTGGTAGCGACATTGTCTATGAGGATACTCAGAATCTCCAAGCCACCAGCTCTAATGTAACTATGGAAGAAGAGTGTCAATTTCAGTGCACTTAAAATGCAGGATGATGAGCAGTGTGATACATCAGCACTAAAAAGACTGCATCTTTATTTCTAAAGATGCAGTCTATCCTTCATGTGTCAAACTCAGCTACACAAGAAATAGTTGATCACATGAATCAGATCTTCTCTTTATCTCAGCCATTAATCAAATATGCAGTTAATGACATATTGAAGAGACATGATCACAATATTACAGATTCCACGCTTGTCGTGTATTATCTCTCTTCTTAACGACTTAAAGATTGGGACTAAGTTTTGTAAAAATTCAAAGTTCTTATAAGCTGTAGAAAAAGTCTTCAGACACTGATAAAAAATTAGGCAGAGGCAACTGAGTCCAGGTCCAGAGTGTTTTATTGCAAAATACAGATAAAACACCCGAGATGCGCAAAACTTCAAAAATGTCTTGAAGACACTGGCAATCCGACACCAACACATGATGGCCTATCACCTTGGTTCACCATAATTTTTCAAACCAAAAATACAAACATCCAGGGTTGACTCTGTTCTGGTTTCAGCTCTGGCAGAAGTAGCTCAGACTTATATTAGAGGACAAACAACTAGTGACACTATCTATAGTACATCAAAGGTGACCATTGATGGCACAGACTATACCACTGGAATGTTTGTTTCCGTTGGAATCAGCGGGGGACTGCCTAAGTTTTGCAGACTAACACAGATCTACCTTGTGAATCACAATGTTTCTTTTCTCTGTTGTGATTATGACTCTTGGTATGTAGAGCATCTTCAATCCTATGAGCTGTCAGCCACACAGGGGAGCTTGTCTATCCACCTGCAATCTGACTTGAATGATACAACCCCACTCTGTGCATACAAGATTGGGGGCTTGCTGATGCTGACTCCCAAGAGGTTTATACAAGTGAGACAAAATTAAGACCACTCTACAGTAAGTAATTTTTTGTATAAAGCATGCTTTATAGAAAAGAAAGTTCTAATGCTGAACATATTAGAAGTTGTCATTCATGATTTTAAACGTTTAGAAAGCCTTATAAATGTGCTATGATGTCCATTTGCTGATGTGTTTTTAACTTCTACATTTTTTTCATTTATTAGTGATGGCAGCTGAAGCCCCACAAAACATGATCCTTCGTGTCATCGAGGCGGACCGTGTGAGAAAATTAAAACTCAGCTCCCGTCCAGCCTCTGTTGATGCCCTGATTGATATTTTAAAACAACAGCTGGAACTGGACTGTGACTTTAGTTTGAAGTACGAAGATCCAGACTTTGATGGAAAACTCACTTGCCTTGTTGACATAAAGGAGTTGCCACAAAAAGCTTGTCTTCATATTTCACTTAAACATGAATCCAGTTCTATTGCATCTACTGATACCCTTTTAGATGTGTCATCCCCAGAACGTCTCAGCAGATGGCCTCCAGGTCCATTTCAGATTCCCACATTTGCATTTGATATTGAGCTGACACTTAGAGATGGGAATGCTAAATTTGAAAAGAGTGAAAAAACCTCTACAGTTGTCAAGGGACCAAAAGCACAATATTTTAGACAAACTGGCATCTACCATATATGGTTTCAAGGCCTACCCCAGTGATAAGGAGATAGCAATGGTGGCTGAAGCTCTTGTGAGGACACACCCATGTTTAAAGGAAGTAGGATCCGACAGTGGATGGAGTGGATGGAAAAACAGCATCAAATTTAAAATGGGAAATTATAGGACCAAGATGAGAAGAGCTGGATGTCAGGAGGTTACTGTAAATGCTGGAAAAAGAAGCCAAAAAAATCCTGACAACGAACCCTCCCACTCCAACATAAAAAGACCTAAGCGTGCAGAGGTCAACTTTCTGCCCAACTTTCCTCAAGGACAGGATCCCTCAAGTCTTGACCATTTGAGGCAGGCTATTGTTGAGGAAGTAAAGAAGACTGAGAGAAACCTCCCTCTTATCAGTCAAATGATGCAGACACATTTGCCTTGCGACGACAGAGTATTGTGATGTCATGCCCACCAGTCAAAGAGCTACTGGACCTCTGGCCAGCTCTTCATATGCAGTCTGAGGTAATGTGGATCAGCTCTTTTGTTGGTTTTATATTTGCTACTGTATGTCACTTTGTAATGTTGCCAAATTTCATTAATCATTAAATAAATAATTTAAGGAAAAAATAAGAATTACTGTACTGCCCTTTCCTCAATGCAGGTGTATGCAGAGTTCCAAAGGATAACAAACCAGAACCTCCCAAACACTTTCTATGCCCAGCTTGATCGGCACACTCCTTGCATGATGGCTTTATTCAGGCAGAAAGCTTCCAAAACTGGAAAGACTGCTGATGCTTTGGCTTACATTTTCAAAGTCCATGATGCACAGGTGATTATACATTTCACAGGTCTACTGTTGGTAGTTTATTGCTTAAAATAAGCTTTTGAATTCCATAATTGCATCAGATGAGTCAGCAGGCTATCATAGTGGATTTATGTGCAGATTTTGGTAATTGGTAATTAGCTGGAACTGTTTGGCATTGGCTTTAACTAATGAACTGTATTTGCACTATTTTTATTTTCTCCGGAAATACATGATGTCCACACGAGACGGACCACTGTTCTCCATGCCCTTCCTGTTTATCTACATGAGGAAGTTTCTGAATTCTTCAGATCATGTGTGGTAAGTCTCAGTAGAGAGATCTCAGGCCTGCCCAGTAGGGCTTTAGAAAAGTCAGCTGCAAAGAAAATCAAGTAGCCATCATTAGCCTAACAGTGGTACACATAAAAGTCATCTCTCATTCTCAGCAAACAAGAGCACAATGCAACAAAATGAACAGGAGTCTTTTAGACTGGTGTATTTATTTTTAATAATAGGACGATCATCTGTAATCAAAATCGCTTCAGCCATAGTTTCTGTAAATGTGATTTAGTATATGATCCCCCTTTCATTTTTTTAAGGACGGTATGGATGAACCAGACCTGGGGGATGCATGAGTGGCCTTACTTACAGCTGTCAGTGACGATGCCGCAAGTCCAGTTCACTACCACCCAGTGAGAGTTTCTGTCGTCCTAGAGGGGGATGTGGTTGTTGACCTTCCCAGGCTTGCTGATGCCTTCCTGGTAATATTTGGACTGATTTATGCTCTACACCTCAGCTATCCCAAGGGACTCACCAACACTTTTGAGTTCACACAGAAAATCTTGCTTGGTCTTGATAACTCTAAACTATCACCTAAGCTGCAGACTCTTAAAAATGACTTGATGTTATATGTGTAACTCAAGACCCATAAAGTAGTGGTGGATTCTGATAGCTCACTCTGTTAGAGCATAGTCCACAGTCGCCAGGTCCATGTTTGTTCATTGTTAATGTTAAAGTTCTGCTCTACTCAACTGGTTTTCAGCCAAATGGCATAAAGTTGACGCTGCCTGTACTTTAATTTTGTTTTTAACTAATACAGGAGTGTATTAAGTGTTTATACACATACAGTATATTCTTAATCTTTCTTGAAGTTGCTATAAATAAATCAGATACAGTTTTGAATTTTTTGCATATTTGGTTGTGAAGAATTTATAAGCAATTTGTTATACATTGCTGCACTGCAGGTTTACAACCAGATGGCCAAAGGTGTGCCTTAACAAATGTTTCTTATTTCTGTATTTAATTCTTTTTTTTTCTTTTGTCAGTTGTTTTTCAAATATTGTTTCATATGAGCAAATCTCTCTAAACCCCTGGTAATGTTGTTTTAAAAGTTTTCTAAATTATTTGTGACATAAAGATCTGTTATTATGTAATTTAAGCTTTTCTGAGTTTGAATATTTTTACTATGGTTTATGTCAAAAGATTAACAAAATGTCCAGTAGACTTGTTAATTTTCTTTTTTATTTATTTATATATATTTTGTGTTTAAAATACAACAGAAAGGTGTATGAAAAAATTCAGAATAGAAAAAACCAAATTATTTTTTTTACTTTTGTGTCAAGAGTACTTATTATCTTTAAGGCAATCAGTTGCCACAAATATTTTAAGTTTGGAGTGAAATGACTTTGAGTTGTAACAAGTCTATGCTTTTGAGTCATGTTTAATGAGAAGATTGAAAGAAAAAACTAATAAATGTTAAGTTCAGTGAACCTAAAATCCCGAGTCTTCATACTTGAAATTATTAAATTTGCTGTAGTTATTTCAATGAGAAAGATAAATAAATATTCTGAGTAGAATAAACTGAAGAATTTTGAGTTGACTTGATTGATAAATTTAATTAACTTAATTTACATTTCAAATAAACTCAAAATATATAAGTTATGTCATACTCAAATGTATGAGTTTTAGAACTCAAAAGAATTGTGGCAACTGATTGCCTTACTTTTTTTGAACTTATTCGGGTTTACAGTGTGCTGGTGTAAGGAAATGTATAAAGAAAGGGTATAGAAAGTATTTTAAGACCCCTTAACATTTGACACCATTTCCTTCATTGCACACTGTAAAAAATGTCTGTGGAATTAACAGTGAATCACTGTAAAATCGTGACATAAAAAAACTGTAAATACAAAAACAATGAAGCCGTGTGTAATTTACATTACTATGTTGTAAAAATCCGAACCAAATCCAACTGTTAATTTGACAGTAAGAATATGTTAAAAAAATCATACTTTTTAGGAGAATTTACAAATTACTGTAGTTTTAACACTGATAAATTGTAATACAAAAAACATTACAATACAGTTAAAATTACATCATAGCAGTGTTAAAATGTACATTTATATGTTGTAAAACGCTGAACCAAATCCAACTGTTAATTTGACAGTAAGAATTTGTAAAAAAAAAAATCATACTTTTTGGAGAATTTACAGATTATTGAAGTTTAAACATAGACAAAAAATAATACCAAAAACATTTCAATACAGTTAAAATTACATCATAGCAGTGTTTTTTGTCAGTGGTACATTTTGGTTATGCCCCAAAGAAAGCATATTATGTTTTACAAATTCATATATTACATTTTACAAATTCATATTACAGATAAGAATATTTAGAAATACAGTAAAACTATGCTAATATAAAGAAAGTATAATTTTGGATATCAAGTTTATGTTAGCACTCCTCCCCCCTTCCAAGATAACAGCATGTCCTTTGTCTCTGTCATGTGCCTGTCTGTTTTAGTGGTTTTTTTTGTTTGTTTGTTTGTTTGTTTTAGTGGATTTTAAGGATTTTTTTATCTAAGGATTTATGGCCAACTAAATGGCCAACTCTCAAAGGTCTGTGGAGTGTTTATATTTTGTCTGCTTTGGAAGGCTGATCTGCCTTATGCTCTGGCCTGCTCCATCTGCTTGTGGACTGGTTGCTAGCTGTGGCTTGTTCTGAGCTCTTTGAAACTGTGAGGTGCGATTGATTGACTTTCTGCCGGGAGGTGCTGTGGTGGGGCTTGAGATTGGTCCTAAATCACAGCAGCACACAGCAGTTTCTTATACACTGCTTTAGAGGCGTGCTCCATCTATCCTGCTCTGACCCCAGGCTCACACCGACGCCGGTCTTACCGGTGCGGTGGGTGCGGCGCCGCAGTGATTCCAAGTCATTAAAAAGACGTAAACCTCTCTCACCGGCTGCTGAGCTGTCCGGCTGCGGTTACCGAGACACTCCGGCGCTGCAGAAAATTCCGCAAGAAAGCTATCCTTGCGGCGTGCCGGAGCCCTCCGCAACAAGCTCTCGCAAAAATCCTTTATTTGGGCTGTGTTATCGCGTGAAGTTACGTGAACTCAAGTGAACTTCTGTTAAATCTCCGGACCTGTTGCCGGAGCCGCAGAGCCGCACCGCACCGTAGTCAAAAGGGCAGTGTGAGAGGGGGTGTGCGGGAGTTGCGGTCTCCGTCCGCTCGGTAACTGCACCGGAGCCAGTGTGAGCAAGGGATAAGGCCTTTCCATCCATTCACCCTGCTCTGTATCCTGCGGCCTGCTGCATCACCCTGAATTACCGCCTACGTTCCAATGAGTTTTATTTATTAACCTTGCCCAAAGTTAACACTGAACTTGGTAAGCACTGCTTTAAGTATGCTGCACCTGCTGCTTGGAATGCACTGCAGAAAACTCTAAAGCTAAGGGAGATGATCAACCTTGGATCTTTGAAAACTCGTGTGAGAGAAATTGCACTGTAAAAAAAAATCTGTTGTTTTTACGGAAAAAAACTGGCAGCTGTGGTTGCCAGAATAATCCCGTAGAAAATACAACAAAACTGTTAACAACATTACGGAACAACTTGTACATTTTACTGGGATTTAATGTACAATAAATAATGACTAAATGTACATTTTGCAGTTATTCAGTGTACAATAAGCAGTTTTAGGACGTGAAATTTACAAGTTGTTTCGTAATGTTGTTTACATTTGTACTGTATTTTTAACGGGGTTATTCTGGCAACCACAGCTGCCAGTTTTTTTCGGTAAAAACAACATTTCTTTTTAAAGATGTTTACATTTGTACTGTATTTTTAACAAAATCATTCTGGAAAAACAACAGTAAGTATATATATATATATATATATATTTTACAGTCTTACTATCTACATTGCTTCAAATTACTTCTAAATGAAAAGTCAAGCTGTAACAAACCACTCATCAGACAATATACAATTCACAATAACGCAAATTTATTGTTGAAAAAATAATGAGAAAGATCATTAAAGTGTGTTTGTGTGTGTGTGGTTGCACTTCTGTTTGTGAGAGAGAGGGATTGTGAGTGAATAAATGTGAACCTTGTTAATATAGAGCCACGAAAAAAGGTGATATAGGTGTTCATCGGCTCCATCACTTTGAAGTAACACCTAGGGGAATAGAGAAGAGAAACAAACACAATAATCTCCATTAGTTTAATTAGCAAAGTCAATATAATCAAAGATAACAGTAGCACTAGCACACACACCTTTTTAAACAGCTCGCCATTCATGGAGAGCTTGTGAATCATGGTAAAGGCTTGATTAACATGCAACTGCATTGCTTCTGGAAGAACATCTAGAGAAACATATGGGTGTTCACTGTCGCGGTCACTTGAAGGAACATCTAATGGAAGAGAGAAGAGAAAGAAATACATAATCTCCATTAGTTTCATTAGTAAAGTCAGTCAATAATCAAGGACAACAGTAGCATTAGCACACGTACACTGAACACGTGGGAATTATGTACAGTACATCCTGAAAGTATTCACACTCCTCTCAATGTTTCACAATTTGTTGCATTGCAGTCATCTCCTTCAGTCAAATAAGTTAATTTTTTTCTCCTTGATCTAGACTCAGTGATCCATAATGACAGCAAGAGTGTTATAACATAGGGTGTGAATACTTATGCCCATGTGGATATTTCAGTTTTTTTAATGATTTGCCAAAACTTCAACAATTCTGTATTTTGCTGTCATTATGGGGCACGGATCCTAGATCAGGGAGAAAAAATAAACTTATTTGACTGAAGGACATGACTGCAATGCAACAAATGCTGAAACATTGAGAGGGGTGTGAATACTCTCTGGATGCATTGAACATAATTCCCACGTGTTCATTCATAGTTTTGATGCCTTCAACGAGAATCTACAATGGAAATAGACATGGTAATAAAGGAAACATTGATTGAGAAGGTGTGTCCAAACTTTGGGCCTGTACTGTACCTTTTCAAACAGCTCGCCATTCATGGTTGAAAAGGTCATGAACCAAGTTACAGAAGCTTAGATTAACAATTCAATTCAATTCAATTTCAATTCAATTCAGTTTATTTATATAGCGCCAAATTCACAACACATGTCATCTCAAGGCACTTTACAGTTCAACCAGATCAAATTGATACAAAGTTTTCTATCTAAGGAAAACCAGTTGATTGCATTGACTCATTGACTCAAATACAATCCCCCACACTAAGCATGCTTGTAGCGACAGTGGAGAGGAAAAACTCCCTTTTAACAGGAAGAAACCTCCAGCAGAACCAGGCTCAGTGTGAGCGGCCATCTGCCGAGGCCGACTGGGGTTCAAGGAGACAGAAGCAGAGATACAAAAAGCAGCTGTAAAAGGCGGCCCCGTCCAGGAAACACACAGCCAGGCAGACGAGCTCCAAGGCAGCTCCCATGCCAGAGGACGAAGAAAGCACATCCACTCAGTCACGGTCAGAGAAACAGGACCACACTGGAAAACAGGCCGATCTCCAACATCTATAAACAAGGGTGTTGATAGAAGCAGCACAGCTGATGTTTCTTTCCAGGATGACGTCACAGCCAAACAGGAACAGACGAGGCAAAGCTACTCTGAGGAAAAGCAGAGAGAGCAGAAGGTTAGAGATTGAACTAACAGATTCTGCAGAATAGGAGAACAGAGAGAGAATGAAGCAGAATGATGAAATGGGGGTCCCTATGTCCTCCAAAAGTCTAAGCCTATAGCAGCATAACTATAGAGATAGCTCAGGATAACCTGAGCCACTCTAACTATAAGCTTTATCAAAAAGGAAAGTTTTAAGCCTAGCCTTAAAAGTAGACAGGGTGTCTGCCTCACGGACTAAAACTGGTAGTTGGTTCCACAGGAGAGGAGCCTGATAACTAAAAGATCTGCCTCCCATTCTACTTTTAGAAATTCTAGGAACCACTAGTAAACTTGCAGATTGAGAGCGAAGTGCTCTGTTAGGAACATAAGGAACAATCAGATCTCTGATATAAGATGGAGCTTGGCCATTTAAGGCTTTATATGTGAGAAGGAGGATTTTAAATTCTATTCTTGATTTAACAGGAAGCCAATGAAGAGAAGCCAGGATAGGCGAGATATGATCTCTCTTTTTAATTTTCATTAGAACTCTGGCTGCAGCATTTTGGATCAGCTGAAGGCTTTTAACTACAGTTTGTGGACTTCCTGATAGTAAAGAATTACAATAGTCCAGCCTTGAAGTAACAAATGCATGGACTAGTTTCTCAGCAACTGCATTGCTTCTAGAAGAACATCTAGAGAAACATATGGGTGTTCACTATTGCGGTCACTTGAAGGAACATCTAATGGAATAGAGAAGAGAAAGAAATACATAATCTCCATTAGTAAAGTCAGTCAATAATCAAGGACAGCAGTAGCATTAGCACACATACCTTTTTAAATAGCTCGCCATTCATGGTCTGAGAAGTCCTGAATCAAAGTAAGGACTCTTGGATTCACATGGAGCCGTTTTGTTTTTGTTTGTTCCACTTTCGTCCCCTTCTCCGGATTAATAGAGAAGAAACATCTAGGTTAACAGAAGAGAGAAGAAACACATATACCACTATAAATGATACAACCATCTCAACCAGTCAAATCAGTACAAAGGAAAAGACAAAAAAGGTGAGAATACGGGTTGCAGTTTTCCATTACTTAAAGTTTAACTGGTAGGCGGGGAGCTAAGGGGCCAACCGTGTACCCCCCACATAATCCAACTTTTTTTATTTATTTTTTTTTTTAAAGGTCTCATCATGCTTAACATGAATCAGAATGTTTACATTGAACATTTTGCACTACATGTTTCAGGTAGTCAGTGTATTTTCCAAACATTGCAAATTGCATTGCACCTTCCCCTAGCTCATGGAGAGTCATGTTCCTGTAATGCATTTCCATTGCATTTTCAATGTATGGAAATACATTGACTACCTGAAACATGTAGTGCAACCCAAAATGTTCAGTGTTAACATTCTGATTCATGCTCAGTATGATCAGACTTTTAAAAGAAAGTTGGTTCCTTTGAATTATGGGAGGGTGCACCTTAAGGCCTATAGACATTAGACACTACACTCTGCCTATTGACATATCAATGTCTTTTTTTTCCCTCTTGATGCCAGACACCTTTGGTATAATGTATAGATTCCTCAGTTAAAGGACAACTTCGGTCAATTTCAACAAGAGCTCTATTGCTCAAGCTACTTGAGACTTGCCAGGGCTGAAGACGTGAGAAATTTTGGTCTAAATCCTATAGGTTTCCTTGAACAGAGAATTAGCACTGACAGCTAACCCATGGGGACATAACTTTAAATTGTGAATTTAACGCTCCAAATGTCAACGCCAAAGCTATGCAACACCAGCCGACACAATACAACACGACACTGTAATGTGTATGACTAGAAATGCTTAAAAAGTGGTTAAAACAGTGTGTTTGTGCAAGCAGCCATATACAAAATTTAAACAAATGATATGATAAAACACAGTGTAAAGTTCTGCCCCCATGGGTTAGCTATCAGAGCTAATTCTCTGTTCAAATAAACCTATACAAGTTGGACCAAACTTTTTCGCGTCTTCAGTACTGGCAAGTCTCGAGTAGCTTGAGCAATAGAGCTCTTGTTGAAATGGACCGAAGTTGTCCTTTGAGCAGAACATGTCATTTTGCCCATGAAATGAAATCGTTTTTGCTAAAAAATACTCAGGCAATTAGTTTAACAAGGTGTCAACATTATTTGATACATGTTATTTGATACATTGTATTTCAGTTAGCAATGCTACAGAGCAGTTATCTTGACTAAGATGGTGGTGGCGATGGGGTAAAGAAACTTGGTTATCATGCCAGTAGCCACAGAAGTCAGGGGTTGAAGCTAGCCCCTAGCAAGGCACTTAACCCCATGTTGCTAAATAGAACAATAGAAATAAATAGAACAAAACAATTGTAAAAAATAAAATAACATACCTCTGAAGAAATTCCGGGGTCGATGCAACCGTGGATGGGTAATGAATGTTAAAGCAGTAATAGCTGCCAAACATCATGCACAAGGCCGAGATGAAAGAAGAGATGTTCTTGTTCACGATGACTTGATCCATACTCAGCATCCGTCTCGAGGAATAGCAGGACTGCCCTATTTAAAAAAAAAAAACAGCAGCAATTTAGGGAACATTTCAACATGTCAGTAACTCGTAGCTCAAGTGTAAAACCAAGTGTGTGTACTATATGTATGCGAATGAAAAAAAAAACTCATCTAAAAAAAACTGAAACAAATAAGAGATAGAGGTCAGTGTGTGAATGAGAGAGCATGTGTTCAGTCTTAGGAAGGCAGGTGTGTGTGTGTGTGTTCATGTGAATGTGTGAGTGAGTGTGTGAGAGAATGAGTGGGGGTATTTGAAATTAACAGCGGAGACAAAAACAATTACAGATGCTGCATGAACATAATTTAAATTAGAAATTAAGAAATTTGGGATATATTTGTGAGTGAGGTTAACTTACCACATACAACAATCGTGGGAGTCAAGGGAACTCTGTTGATGTCCACTTCTCTAGCCAGGCAAGTGTCCTCCACATAATGGAACATCACAACCCTACAATGCAACACAGAACCCTTTAACGTGTGCAATGTTCTCCCGCAAAAATGACAATGAATCATGTCGTGGGGAGCTTGAAACAGGCAAAATAGCTATTAGCTGCTAGCAGCCAGTAGCAATGTGAAGTTCGCCTATCAGCCATTGAAATCTATAAAAACGCGCTGTTTTGTTTCACAAAATTGTCTTTTGACGCTGATGCGCAAATACAGCCTGTGAATGGGCGGAGCTAACATTGAACCAAAATAATTTGATATTCTCCTGCAAAGAACAAAGTATTTGTAAAATAAACTAACCTACATAGCAGGAATAAACAGAAAATAGAATTGTTTACTTACCAATGATTGGTTCCATGAAAAATTCCAATATATGTAGAGCAGCGAATCAATTCAATAAGTCCTCTTCCAGATGGCCATGGTTTGATTCAGCTGTGTTTTCCATTCAAATATCATGGATAGGCATCCCGTGTTAACTAGACCTACATAAAGCTTCCCTTTCCTAATTTATTCTTAAAAAAAAAAGTATTGTCTTTTAAACACATTAACAGTTTTATTTGGTTTAGAGTTTTACGAAATGGTAAACAAAATTAGTTTAGGGATCAGTCGAAGCGCAGCCCAAAGACCCCTTATGATGAGTACCATTAATGGACACATTGCTCCCTGCCTGTGGGATTCCAGAGGCAGCTGATTGGTATCGGCAGTCCAAGCGACAAGCGGCTCTGGCGATTGCCGAGGCAAAAACTCGTTTTATGAAATGTGCCAAAGAGGCTACTGACTTTTTTTTTAACAGGACAATGATGTAATTTTAACTGTATGACTTCTTTTTGGCATTACAGTTAATTTGTGTTTAAATTACATTAATTTGCTAATTATACAAAAAATTCTGATCTATTCAACATATTCTTACTGTAAAATGAACAGTTTTATTTGGTTAGGAGTTTTACAGTTTATCATTGTAAATTACACAATGCTTCATTGTTTTTGCATCTACAGTTTTTTTATGTCATGATTTTACAGGAATTCACTGTTAATTCTACGGATATTATTTACAGTGTGGAGCAGCTTCATATCGCACTTGTTCTTGTTCTAATGTGAATCTGAACTTTTCGTCCTGTTGCTTTTATCTTGTATTGTATTTTATGTGAGTGTTGTGTGATGTCTGTGTATGTGTAGTAACTTTTCTGCTGCTTTCTTGGCCAGGCTTCCCTTGAAAAAGAGGCCATTTTGTCTCAATGAGACCGACCTGGTTAAATAAAGGTTTAAATAAATGTTCAGAGACTATCCTGATGTGACTTTATTAACACTAACTCTATCTGTGTTCTACTGTTATGTGTCAACGTCTGCAATTTCGCAGTGAATTTGTATACTTTGTAATTTCAATAAAGATTGAAAAAAAAAAGAGGCTTGACATTCCACATTTTGAAATAGACAAGAGCCTAGCCTACGGAAGAGGATTAGGGCCACTGAAAAAAAAAAAAAAAGTAAACTGATTTTTAAATTTTATTTCAGTTTAACATGGGAAAAAAGTCAGAATCCTGAGATTAAAGTCAGAATTCTGACTTTAATCTCAGAATCCTGAGATTAAAGTCAGAATTCTGAGATTTTTCTCAGAATCCTGAGATTAAAGTCAGAATTCTGACTTTAATCTCAGAATTCTGACTTTAATCTCAGAATTCTGACTTTTTTTCTCAGAATTCTGACTTTAATCACAGAATTCAGACTTTTTTTCTCAGAATTCTGAGATTAAAGTCAGAATTCTGACTTTAATCTCAGAATTCTGAAAAAAAAGTCATATACTGAAATAAAATAAAAAAAATCAGTTAACTTTTTTTTTTTTTTTTCCAGTGGCCCTAATCCTCTTCCGTACTAGCCAGATCTCCATATGCGTGGCTTGGGATTCTGGGGCTGTTTTACTTTCCCGCTCAAATAAACGTCTGTGCTTGAATTTCAAACTAGATGCGCTCATTCCTCGTCCACTTACTGAGCAGTGGAGTTTGTTTAAGTTCTTTAATTGGACAGCTTGACGAGGCAAAGGGGCGTCGCTACTCACCGAGCTCAATCAGCACACGGAGCTGTGAAAGCATCTGTAGCCCAGGTAAGCTAACAATTAATGCTTAAACTTTAAATAAATAGCTTCTGTTTGTGAGAAAAGTTGTATTTTTCTGGCGTAATAATAACGTCAAGTTAGGAGGTTCACTGTACGCTTGCAGCTTTCATTTTTAGCTAACATAATGTTTTTAGCCTGCTCTACAGGCTATAACTTTAGCTTTCTCTGTCAGTTGCTTAGTCAGCCAGTCGCAGTTGTTGCATTGTGGAGGCAGAAATCTAGCTTGTAGTAGTAGTTGTTACACTACTGTGAACTCCCGCTCGTTTCATGCTGTTGTGAAGGGCTGCCAAAAATGTTCAGTTGCAGTTTTTGCAGCAAAACATTACAGACCTTGAGGGGTTACGTGCTGCATTGTAAAATCCATAGAAATGAACCTCGGCACCGACTGCAAGCGGACATTCTGTACGTATGCCGCTTTTAAAGGTAATTTCTATCGAGTTCACAACACACCTGCACCCTCTGTTACTGCTGTGGCCGCTTTTACTCATTTTACGTGTGCTCTTCCGCTGCGTGACTGTGAATTTCACACAGTCAAAGAGCTTATTTCCCACTTAAAAAAGCATATAGAGGAGGGGCGACCTGTGGCATGTCCAGTAAAAGGTTGTCAAAATTCATTCACTGTTAAATCGTCATTTACTGCCCATATGTCCAGAAAACACAGAACATGTGCTGTGGATAGTGTAAGTGACATGTACATGCAAAATGTGTCTCAGCCTTCTGCTGCCAGTGTACATCTCTGCCTGTCATCACGGACCTCTGAGAACAACATACTCAAGGGCTCAGACTTTCAAAAAAATGTTCAAATACATAGAGCCTAAAACAGTAAAATTAGGAAATGATGAAAATATGACAGAAAGGTTTGCTTACTATGTACCTGTAACACAAACTTTAAAAAACTTACTAGAATCAGATATATGGAAGAACTCAGTGTCACAGCAGTCTTGTAAAACACACTCAGATGTCTTTTGTGACATAAGTGATGGTCAAAACTTTAAGTCCAACCAGCTTTTCATTGAAAATCCAGGATGCCTGAAGCTAATTCTCTACCAGGATGCCTTTGAAATTGTGAATCCCCTCGGCTCAGCTAAGAAAAGACACAAAGTTCTTGCAGTCTATCTTTCTGTGGCAAATTTGCCTGCACATGTGCGGTCCAATACAGATCACATGTCCCTTGTTTTATTGTGTAGAGAGAGTGACCTAAAACAGTTTGGAAGTGCTAAAGTTTTCTCAGAAATGCTAGTTGATTTAAAAAATCTGGAAGAACATGGAATAACTGTTGGTGGTGAAACAGTCAAAGGGGCTCTGTATTGTATTGCGGGTGATAATTTGGGGTCACATAGCATTGGTGGGTTCACTGAAAACTTTAGCCATTCTCAGTACTTTTGTAGATACTGTGAAATTACAAGAAGTGAGTTTCAGAATGATGACCCAAATGTTTGTGGTCCACAGCGCACCCCTGAAAGCTATGATTCTGCACTTCTACAAGCTGAAGACGGACAAGGCAGCAAAGGCATAAAGGTAAACTCTGTTTTCAATGCTCTTAACTCTTTTCATGTTTGCCAGCCTGCTCTCCCACCCTGTTTAGGCCACTATATATTTGAGGGTGTCTTATCGTATGATGTTGCGCTGTACTTGAAGTATTTCATTAAGAAAAAGAAATGGTTTACCTATTCAATGTTGAACAGACGCATCAAGCAGTTTAAGTATAAAGGATCTGATGCACTCACAAAGCCATGTGCTGTCAACTCCTAGGGGTCCAGGCTTTCAGGCCAAGCTATCCAGCATTGGAATTTCTTACGGTTGCTGCCTGTGTTAATTGGTGACAAAGTGCAAAATCACAGGAACGTTTTTTCTTTACGAAACTTTTTTTGGAATGTCATTGAACAGTGCTGACGACCCAGTGAGTAGCATATTTTAGAAAAAGAACGTTTAAGGTTGTTTTAAGGACATTATCGGACATGCACTATGCAAGCCATTCTGAAGCAGCCAGGGGGGGATTCTGCATGAGCCAAATAGCAGAGACAGGACCAATTGTCAAAATTTTGGTGTCGATCATTCGATTTCATCCTGGACACTACAGAAAATGGGCTAAAAGTGTTAAAAACCGGAATTTTCCTTTAATCAGGAATGTGGAAGCCTTCACATTTGGGCCCTGAACACTGTATGTGTGTGTTTGTTTGCAGGCCTGACTCCTGAAACGAGCAGTTCATCTGCTGTTGCTTCACCTGGACCTCCCGTATCCTTGGAGTCGATTTCACCCAGAAGTTCATCCTCAACCTCTTCGAACAACTGCCAAAGCCCTGACTGGGTCGATACATTTATCATACCATGGGAAAAGTTCCCAGAGGAACTGATTCAGTCATTAGAGAGAGGGAAACGACCAAATCCAAGAATGAGAAGGGAGATGGTCCGAATCATGGTCTCTGAGATGATGCAAAAAACTGCTTGCATAAATAAAAGGAGCTGTATGGAAGTTGCCAAAAAAATGGTGGCAAAATATCCTAAGTCTTTGCAAGACATAATAGAGGGAGATGTGATTGGGCCAGGGTACCATTCTCTAGTCAAGCAGCTGCAAAATAGGATAGAGAATGTGAAGCGATGTACAACCCAAAAAATAAGAAAAAGGAAGCATCGCAGTGAAGATTATGACACAGACGAAGTCCCTCCAGAGCAGAGACACCTATGGGTGCATTAACTGGGATTTAAAATTCCTGCCCCTTGGAGAGACTGTCGAGAGCCAGCAAGAACATAAAGAAAAACTGAAGATGATGTCTCAGCAAACTGATGTGAATCCAGAAGAGGTCAAACTTCTGATGAAGCTGACTTTCTACACTCAACGAAAACATGTCAACCAGGGGGAAAATATCAAGAACCTCCTTAAAGAGTGGCCGTTTTTGTTTGATGACCTTGGTATGGCAGTCCACTTTCAAGAACTTACCGGAATTGGGCTGAAAGAAGCTTTCACACGGAATCTGGATCTAAAGGGGAAGCGGCTCCTCAGCTACATGAAGACTGTTTATGTGAAC